CTAGACGGCACATGACCGCACACCGTCAATATGACCAGAGTGACCAGACAGTGGCAGGATGGTTGGTTTCAAGGTTTTAACGCGGAGTGGCTACTACATTCTCTGCACCTGAGATTTTGCTTTGAGGGAATGCTTACAGAAAACTGGGCATAAAAACAAACCTAAATTATCTGCAAACGGAAAAATCACGGCGGATATGGCAATCACCTCCGAAGCAGTTCGCGAACGTGAGGTGGGAAATTGTACACAACGCAAGCAGATTGGCGTGGTGCGTCTAAGGGTAAGATTAAATTTGCAATGCATCAATCGGGTAGTCCAAAGTTTTGCAATTTTCGTAGCTCATGTATTGCTGTCGAATGCAGATGCCCAATACAGTGTTGTAAGCGTCCGCACTTTGGTTATACAAACAAGATTACTTACGAAGTCGTGAAGCGCATCTGCGAGGAGCATTATGCATATGGGTAAGATAATACAAATACTCTTATTCCTCGTAGAACAACCAAAAGATCTATCCCTCCATTATTCTGGTCGTCCTACGAGGAATATAGACATAAGTATTGCATTTTGCTTGCAAACAACAATACTTTCGATTTTTTCCTATTTAATTTTTTCAACATGGTTAGACGCATACTGAAAAATTAACGCAAAAAAGTCAGCCCGAATTCGCAGCCTTTCGAGCATCCAGATACTGAAATTTATCTTCCGACCAATTTTCCCACGATTTTAAAATATCGCAAAGAAACGTAAAAGTGAACTGTTGATTACGCTGAAATGTGTGGGAATGCACAGAATGTAATTGAAAAGCGACTTGCAAAAACTTGATTTCCTTCGGGAGCACAGCTTTCGCTCGTATTATATAGGGTCACAATTTCACCAACATCCTCAAAGGTGACGTTGGCTTAGCTCGGTCAAAAATTTCGCTGTTTTGTGGTCGCCGCGAACGACACGCACTTCTCAGACATTTCGCGACGTCGACTTTGACCACAGAGCACACCTCAACTGAACTGGGAGCGGCGCAGTGATGCAAAACAAGGCCGACCGAGTCGTGAACACGAACAGCGGTCCCCATGACACCAATGAAGCGTCAGCCCCGTGGTGTCGCGTCGAATGGAACAAAACAAAAAAATGTGTTTCGCACAAAAGCTCAAGAAGGCTCCGCCGACCAAATGCAGCGGAAGTCCCGCAGCACATGTTGAAGGGCCTGTGGTACAAAGTGCAACTACAGACGCCTGAATTGGGCGCGGTTTCAGGCGCAGCGCAGCAGATTGTCCCCGTTTTCTCCTCCACCCGACGACACATGCCACTCGAGTATGCTGCTCGTGTTGGCTCGATGCCAAGTCCGCTGGGATGTTGGCTGCATGCACGCATGGACGCAGCTGCAGCTGCAAACGCCTCGCGGTAGGCACGGCCTTGGGCGTCGTTGCGTCTCAATGAGACCACTCTGTTTGCACGTGCGGTCAGCGCGCCCAGATGGCCTGTGACGACGGCGTGGTTTCCATGGTTGGTTCGAGCCTGTTCTTGCTCCATCTCCGGGCAATGGCGGCCATTGCACGGCACGGCTAGCAGGAACGCAACAGCTGACAGCGAGATCGAACGTCGCGCTCTGAGCGGTGTCCGCTTCTGGTAAAGCCCATATCTCGACTGTTTATCCGTTTGCTATTGTCATTACATGGACTTAAAAGGTTTGCCTGATGACATGCGGGTGTCGCTAGGATCCCGGCGAATGCCAGCAAAGTCATAACGGATGTGTAACGGATTGGACATCTCCTATGCGCATTGCTACGCTGCATTTTGAGCGGTGATACGGCCGCTGACTCGATGAGTGGAACGCGCCATTGAGCTTCGACCAACAAACATTCACCGACTGTGGCGGCATGTAAAAAAAAAACAGCTGAGTGGCCTAATTGCTTCCCTATGCTTAGAACAAGTCAGATGTGCATAAAATACCCTCATAGATCTGAGGCATAATGTAAGGCGTGGTGTGGCAAATATCACGTGATATGAAGTTCATATGCTATGTTTTCCATTTCTGGTGTTTCCAGCGGTAGTCTTACACTACGCTCTACGTTTTGCATTTCTGTACATACTCTCATTCTTCCCCGGGGCTAACATGAATGCAGTACTGCGTTCAGCTCAGAGCAGCAAAACAGACCACAACACCCAGGGACGCAGCCAGACTCCGCAACCGGAGAGGGGAGAGCGGCTGCCATGATTTGCGATGGGTAAGTTAATTTTTATGGGCGATTCTCAGCCCCACTGAGAGTACCTACGCACTGCGGCTTACTAACAGACCCCACAAACGCTAAGAGGTAGGGTGCCAGCCTAAGAGTGATCTTTCGATGCCGTCAGATAATTGTCAGCTGTGCAGCGTACAAACTCACTCGGTCTTCCGCAGCCTTATCAAATTACGGCTGTTGTGCTCTGCATGCCGCTGCTCATGGGAGAGACTAACATCTTCCTGAGGTTGCCGACAAAAATACAGAGAAAAGGTAGAAATGGTACGCATAGAAAAGGTCCGTATTCCTAATGTTCGTCAGGATAAAGTACGTGGGATATTAGGCTTGTTATGGCAAAAGTTCATAATGAAAAAAGTGCGTATTGATAAAGATCGCTCTGTAGGATGTTGTTCAGGAAAGCATTCGTAGCGCGAGTGTTCGTATGAGCAAAAGTTCGTTGGGATAAAGGTTGTAGGCAATTGCTTTGCACCCAAAGGTTGGGGCACGGATGTTTGTCAAATATAGGGTTCATTTTATACCAAAAATTAAGCAAAGGTTCGTACATCAATACATGATATGAGCACATAAAGTTGGCGCAAAAATGTTCGCTAAGAAAGAAGTTCGCTTGACAGCGCTATGCAAACAAACATAGCATGCAGATGTGTACTAATCATTGGAATACAGGTATTTATTATTGGTGTCAGGTGCCTGATGAGTGGTGTAGTCGTGATCCTCGGTCCTCCTCGATCCTCCTAGATGTTGCGCCAAAGGCTAGTGAGAGCACACTGGTTGTATTGCACAGAACAGGCTCCCAATATATACTGGTCCACACGCGCCCACTCTCGACCCACCGCTGTGTACATCGTGCGCACGTGTCTCTGGAAGGCGGTGGGGGAAGTATTGCCCTCCGTGCATTCAGGAAGACGTGGGGTGAACGCATGGGGCGTACACGTGGAGACCATAATGCTGCACAGTAGCCGCGACCACGCGTTTCCCATTGATCCATGCGTGGGCAGCGCGACCCGCCACCTGCCGGTCATCTTTGTACTTAAACCGGAACCAGCTGAGCGAGGGTCAGGCGCCTCGGGGTCACTGAGGGCCATAACCCGGGGTGCGTCCTATGACGGACCGGCCCTGGCGTGTGCTTCCTTTGTATGACACAGAAAGGAGGACTTCGATCCCACAATGGTCACTGTGGCGGCCACCCATCCCATTGGCTGGGAAGAGGAGGAGGAAGGGGATGGCGATGATCGATAACAGTTGGATAGGGCAGGTCAGGTATCATAATTAACCCAGCTCTTATGACATCATTTTCACTTTGCATTAACTCTACACTCTGAGATAACCATAGAAGGATCTCGAGTCAGTTGGGGTTGCCGTGATGGCCATGGGATGGAGGGAGCTCGAGGCTGAAACAAGCATGTCCTCTGCAGATACCCCGCTAAGTTCGCTCTGCTCCCCCAACTGTCCATCACCCAATGGCGACGCCTCTGTCGACGACGTTGCCTGACGCCCTTGGGCATGTCACTCAAGCCCTTTTGTCAAAACGAACATTTTCCATCCGTACTTTCCATGTGGTATATGTCCGTATTATGCGATGCGTACATCCGTATGGCATAATGCGGGCATTTGCACAGGCGCTTTTGCGTATGCACTTCTGCGTACAGACTTTTGCGTTCTTACTATAACCGTGCGAACTTTGTACTCCACGTTAAGCAGCTTGCGAACAATTGCGCACGTACTTTATGCACGCGTACTTTTCCAAACGTAGTTTTGTCCTAAAACTAGCTATATAAGATTGAAAACCATAAACTTTTTTTGAACACCGAATTCCAGAACCACATTCAAAGGTGTCGTGGTGAAAAATGCGCTCGCACCTGACGAGGGGTAAAGATGAAGCCTACGTCCTCTTGGCTGTTCCGCTGACGGGAACCAAGATACTGCAGGGGTAATCTAGAACACTAGGATGTACGCGTCGAAGCTCTTGTTTGATAGGTGGCGGTTGCGTCGCTACCACGCCGTCTTTAGTCGAGTGACAGTCTGGCTGTTAGTTGTGTGAGCGGTGCCCAAAATGATTGAAATCTGCGAACCGATTCAGACACATTTGGAATGCAACATTTTTTCCTCACCAAATACTACTTGACCACGAGCCGCGACGGCTCATATTACGGTGCGGTGGGCTGGGATCAATAGCGTACGAACGTCCGAAAACGTGACTCGGTAACTGCATTTTTAAAAGCATCACCACCACAGAAGGGTGTGCAATGAGCCAGACAGTGCTGCATTTACTTCGCTGCCAAACTTTCAAGAGGATTTGGGTTGTCATGGTGTCCACAAGAAGGCATCCACGGCTGTGCAGCGGCTGTACTAGCGGTATTACGGAACCAAAAATTGGGGTGCTGCTTTGCACCCATTGCCAGTCTATTTGTTCTCGAAAGTCGGAATGTACTCAACGTTATCCAGGGGTATGGGTTCCCAAAACAAGTCGGGGAGGGGGGTTGAACAGTGAAAAGGGACCCAACCCGCCTCAAAATATACCAAAAACCAGGTTTCTCCCCGTAATTTGTCCACTTAATCTCGTTTAGGGGGACTGGAGCCCGAGCTGGAGGTGGTTGAAGGCCCTCCCCCAAATGAATAGGAAACTACACCCCCGGCATATCTTTAGTTACGAGGACCCAAAGCCGAGAAACAATGTCCATCAATGTAAAGGAAATAGATATTCTCCGTATGGTACTTGGTAGCTCACTCATCCATTACTGCCATATTGAAGTCACTGGTGGGCTTCGTTGCAATGGCGCGGGCAGTGGCATTGGCCTGACAATAGATCCATGGTCGTAATGCCGATTGAGCTAATTGGTCTTGTAGGATAATCACCGTAAGTAGTGAGATCCTGGTTGTAATACTTGGACCTTGGTTTGCCATTTTTATCCTCATCGTTTCTCAAAAGGTTGTAATATACTGCGCCAATTTTGTCTACTGAGCGTCCTTTGTGCTTTGTGTTGCATGCTAGCTTACCTGAACAAAATGTGTCCCCTTCATGTAAAGCGGGAGGATTACAAGCACCGAACATCCCTATGTTAACTGGTGTTCAGGATGACCATGGACATTGTGTGATGACAGCATTTGATGTCCCTTAACAGGTAGGATGTGGGTGTAAGGTTAGTTAAATGTTCAGATTATATTTGTGAAGCACTGCTCAACACTTAGGTGACTGTCATTCTTTTAGTGCCTGTGATGCTGGCTGTAAAAAGGAATATTGGATGCTATGTACCAATGTTTTTGGTATTAATGAGATCTGATAGTTAGTGTGGTCATTTAGATTTATTAGTCAAAGTCATGGCTTTTTCATTTGAAGTAGTTGGTCAGGATGCAGGTCCCTTTCTTTTTTTGATTAAATTGTATTGATATGCTTGGAGGTATGCCAGTGATTGGTATGTTTTCAGTCCCACAAATGTAAGTAGATATAAAATTGTAATGTGGCACAGGTTGTAGAAACTTGTGCATGCACCATGATTTAAGGTTATGTTAGTGACAAATTCAAGTGGACATTGTGAAACAGTATATATGGTCTCAGGATCAGACCTGGGTTTCCCATGTGTCCAAGATGCAGGGGAAATTCAGGCTTTATATGCATCTAGACAATGTTTGATATGCTTCAAAAGTGATAACAGGATTTCAGGCATAGGTATCTCCATTCTGAAGTAAAAATAACATTTTTGTAGTGGAATTGGGTTCTGCATGTACTCTAGCATGAGTCCTAGCCTCCTGCTGAGGAGCTTCATCTATATTTTGTCACATGGCCCTTATTACCTCACCCAGTGGTCACAATTGGTATGGTAATTAAAATGTGTGCAGTTGTAGGATTTGCAGTAGATCCATGTTTTGTTGAATTCCAATTTGCATGCACAGTTCCCAGCATGCAAGCATATGCATATTTGCATTGTTTAACTTGTTGTTGTTAGCACCATTGTAAAACTCTGCAAGTCTTATCTGTCCTTGCAACCATTGGTAGGTAGTGAATTTATGTGATATCCATTGCTTACCACATTTCTGGAATATTGTGGCTACTAACCAGATGATTCTGGTTTTGTCAGAAAGCATGGCAAACACTTCTACCGCCCTGTTCTATCATCCTAGCTATTGTAACTGGAATGCCGCAGATTTAATATTTCCATGAACAAATGTCTCTGATTCATGGAAAGGATAAACCTTGTTATGCATTTTAGTCTGATATATTAAGCTCACAATTAAAGCTGATTCATCATATGATTCACTCTGGCTTAATAGGTATGGATGTATGTATGGATGTATGTATGGATGTATGTAATAGGTATGGATGTATGTAATAGGTATGGATGTATGTATGGATGTATGTATGGATGTATGTAATAGGTATGGATGTATGCAGTGGGATGTGAAGATGTCTTAAAACAACACAGATATAAATATCCTGGTGCACTGCTTGAAAGTAAGCATTGCTAGCAGACATTACAGGCATGATATTTCACACCCTTTATTCCCTCAATGGCCGTAATGTGACATATTGAGTTATATGGTATTGCTTTAAGCTATTAGCACCTAATACCCTGTCTGTAGGCATGGTGGCATGGTGATCAAAATCTGAACAGCAGTTGTGAATGGTGCAGTGTCAGTATGACAGATGAGTGGTGAGCTGTCACCCATCTTTCAGCCCTGTGGGCAATTTGCACATCATTTGCTTAACAATGGCTCCCTTTAGTTTTTGGCTTGCCAACTCAGTCTGTGTTGATTGAAACTGTGCAAGCAGCTGTGCACCTTGTTGCCAATATAGTTTAAGTATGATTTGGTCATGATAGCTGAACCTGAATTCTTCCATGCAAACCATTCAGAATAACATCATGAAAAACAAAACAAATCTGTATGGAGAGTTACTATGCAAATCTGATACTGTTTGGTTCCTTGATTGCGAGAATAATTGGTTGTTTTATATGTTGGTTCAGCACTGGCAGTGTGTCTTACCAGGCTGCTTACTTTACTTTATAAAAAGCCAGAACTTGACAAACATGACTGTGACATGGGAATCTATAATGTTATCTGGTCCTCTGGCATGTGGTAAATGATGTTAAACTTTGTTTGCCACCCAGGGTGTTAGTCAGTCATTGCCTGCCAAAAAATAGTTGGTAGCTGCAACAACATGGCTTGTGAGGGTAGTGCGGCAATGTGGCCCCCACTTGGCAGGGGAAGCAAGGGAGACAAACCTGACTTGAATACAAAACACTGGAGCCTTACAATGCAGGTATCATATGTTCCAAAGTCTACCTGCTCAGCAGGATGTATGTGCATTTGAAAGGGCAGCAGCTCATCCCATAGTGACTTATTACACACAGTGGGTACTGCTATCACCCCCACTCCAAGGGCAGTTGTATGATTACTAGGGGATGTATGCAGCACCCCAGGCTTCTAGTGGTGATAGCTGGTGGTCCAAGTGGTCTATTGCTGCAACAGAGTGCTCTACATTCAGCTCAGGCTGAGGTACAGTGCTATCCTGTCTCCATGATGTTGATAATATTAGATGGAGGACATCGTGGTAGAAGACTCAGTTCTGTTCTGAGCATGCTGGTTGCCTTATGCCTACTATCAGCATTGTTCCTCACTCCACCTGCTTAGCCTGCTTGCATTGCACTGTTGAAAGAAGGTGATGAGGGCCTAAGTCCAGGCATGTTGTGATGTACATGGTTCTGCTCAAACAAACTTCTAGTGGAGGCTGGGTCATGTGGTCTCCTAGTGAAATGGAAACTGATGTCAACAGTCACTGCTTTGTATAAGTGTCCCACACTCCGGGGAAAGATGCGGGGCTCGTTATCCAACATTGCTAGGTACTAGTCGTGGGACGGACGCATCGTCCTGCCCTGCTGACAGGAAAGTGCCAGGTGGGAGCTGACCAAAGGGGGTCAGTCTGGCACGGGGTGACACTGTTGTGGTGCCACACGACATGGTGGGAGCTGAACAGAGGGGTCAACCTGGTACGGGGTGGCCGTGTCGTGGTGCTACACAACATGGTGGAAGTTGATCAGAGGAGGTCAGCCGGCATGGGGCGGCCGTGTTGTGCCATACGACATGGTGGGAGCTGGCCGGAGGGTCAACATGTCCCGGGGCGGTCGTGTCGTAGTGCTTTATGACACGCAATGACCTCCGCAGCCCTCCGAGGAGGAAAGGCTGGAGACTATGTTATTCTGGTTATTCTGTGAACTGTATCAGTCTACCTAGGGTGGTGGGTTCAGGTCGCACGCGATGAATTTGGCTCAGCACACACTGTGTGCTCAAAGCCATCAATCCTTTTCACCGAAATAGATTGTCTAAAAGAAATTTCAGTGTTGCTCATTTGGACAGGTAGCGTTATAGCGTTTCGTTTCGCCGAAGGGACGGTGGGACGCCAAGGGGATGATTCACGACCAGCCTCGCTGAGAGCTGTATGTTGACTTCTAAACATGGAGATGTTCATAGGAGCTGCAAAGTGACGGTGACGTCTGGTGCAGCCGAGCAGAGACTGGCCGCAATAATCGTGAACATTATGCAAAGCGATCTAACCAGGCTGCCGACGGCGCCGCTGCTGGCCGGCACTGGGCCGGCGGGCTGGGGCTGGTGGCGGGGTCGGCTGCAGCTGCCGGCGGCGGCCTTCTGCTGGCGTGGCAGGCGCCGGGGGGGGGGGGGGGGGGGCTGGATCCTGGCGCCCGCGCACAGGCTGGTCCGGCGGGCGTCGGGTGGTCTGAGGTGACCCAGCCGGAGTCGCTTTTCACATGGCAGGGCTGGGTCCTTGCCCTGGTGTGAGGCTGCACCACCTTATCTGAGATGTTGCCTCAACGGCGCTTAGATTGTGGTGACGGCTACTGTCGTCACTAACCCGCCCTCACCTGACCTGCCGTGACAGCAGCGTGCTGTACTCATGCTGTCGGACCTGTGGTCATCGGCTGTGTTTAGACTGCTGGAGTGGACTTTGTCACTGGTCTGTCCTGAGCTGAGCTGAACTGAACTGAACTGAACTGAACTGAACTGAACTAAGCTGAACTGAACTAAACTGAACTGAACTGAACTGAACTGAACTCAACCGAACTCAACCGAACAGGCCAGACCAGACCTGACCTGACCTGACCTGACCTGACCTGACCTGATATAACCTTATGTGACCCGCCGTGCCGGCAGGCTGCTGGACGGGCGGGCCGCCATGGGCCAGTGCTTCTCGTGCGGGGAGCCACAGGAGCGCGACCCGCCGCCCATCAAGCACAAATATGACGGCGTACCCACCACAGGTCAGTGGTCCACCGCGTGGAGTCTCGCCTCATGGAGCGGCGCTGCCGACGGGCTGCTCCGCTGGACACGCGCTCCGGCTCTGTCCGTCGACTGATTCACCTGTGTAGTGTAGAATGGCGAGGTTTTGCAGGCGCCGTTAGGACGTCTGAGAGTGGTGCCATTGTTTGTTTTTGTGTTGGGATGAAATGGCTGGTCCGAACTCTTGCGCGACGCTCTGCTGTGTTTTGTTTGTATCGCTGTATATGCCGATCTGTGTTAAAGTTTTTATTCAATTTTAGCGAACGGGTGTGTTCGTAAGTAACTACTTGTTACGATATAGTGATTATACATGATGCTCTGTTACGAGATGTAAGTTCATATATAGGCTGATCTCGTAACCGGCTGCAACTTGTATGAAACGTACGATACTTCAAAGCCCATCATTGCCCATGTGAGAGTTCTTGGCATGTTATCAGATGGGACCGACACAGTCGTATAGCAGAAATGGACTGCGTTGGTGCTCGTGGTGAAGATATCTCCTCACGTTGCTGAGTACGGTCACGTTAGGTCAACAGATAGTTACTTGGCTTTTTCGAGTAGCGTGATTTATCCGCCGGGCCAACATGTCAACTGATTCGGTTTATTTTTCTCTATCCTTCCATTTTATGTATGTTTGCCTATCTTGTCGATCGTGGTATTCGTTATGACCATGTGTTTGTGAGGCAGTTTGCAGCGGTTGCCGGCATCAGCCGCAGCGTCCATTGGTACTGTTACTACCGCCTGTTGCCGAGTCTGGTCCGACTACCCTCCCGTCGTATGGCACCGTGCTAGCCGCGGCCCGGCGCTGCCACCTGACCCGCCTAACCGGCCGCCCTCCGCCGGCAGAGTGTCGTCCGAGCGTGCCCAGCGCGCCAGCGGCGGCCGACTCGCCGAGCCGGGAAGCGCCGCCGGCGCCGGCGCCGGCCAAGCCGCTCACGGTGCTCTCGTCGGACTCGCTGCGCTCCGAGAAGTGGAGCTTCCCGCGCGTCACGGCCAAACGGCCGGCCGAGGCGCGCCGCACCGGCTCGCGCGACGTGTCGGACGCCCGTTTGGCGGCACTGTTCGAACAGTACCGTGACCCGGCCGAGGACGCCATCCTGGCCGACGGCGTGGAGCGGCTGTGCGCCGACCTCGAACTGCGGCCGGACGAGTTCCGCGTGCTCGTGCTGGCGTGGCGCCTGGACGCGCAGGCCATGTGCCGCTTCAGCCGCGCCGAGTTCGTCGGCGGCTGCCGCGCGCTGCGCGTGGACAGCGTGCGCGCGCTGCAGGCGCGGCTGCCGCAGCTGGCGGCTGAGGTGGCCGCCGACGCCGCGCTGTTCAAGGACCTGTACCACTTCACGTTCCGGTTCGGGCTGGATTCCGACCTGGGACAGCGTATTCTGCCGGCGCCGATGGCCATCAGTCTGTGGCGGCTGGTGTTCTCGCAGCGCGAGCCGCCGCTGCTCGAGCCGTGGCTGCGCTACCTGGAGAAGCACGCGCAAATCCGCGGCATCCCGGCCGACACGTGGTCCATGTTCCTCAGCCTGGTGGAGGCCGTCAGCCCGGACCTGGCCGACTACGACGACAATGAGGCTTGGCCGTCGCTGTTTGACGACTTTGTCGAGTACCAAACGGACCAGGCGAACCAGAATGTGAGTGAGTGCGACCGGGACTGACGCGGCGGCGGCGGCGGCGGACGACGAGCCGAGCGTCGCCCGATCGTCGAGGCGGCGGCCGCCGGCTCCGGCCGCGGCACCGGCGCCGGCGGACTGCCGGCGGCCGGCTTGTGTTAGCTGACTGACGCAGGGCGACTGCAGCTGGAACCCGGTGACGACGGCAGCTGGTCGTCTGCTGGCTGTGCCAGTCGTGTGTGTGTGGGGGGGGGGGGGGGGGGAGGGCGCAGCAGACGCGTGTTGCGCGGCCCGACTGTGCGCGCGTCGTATCTCAGCGTGGAGCGCGCGCCCGAGTCGGCCAGCCGTGTGCCACCGAGGTGGTGAGCGCGGCCGCCGGCCGTGGGTGTCGTGTATCACCGGCTGGTTGCAACCTGCCCACTGCTAACCAAGGCTTTAAGTACAGGGGTGGTGTGACGTCACTGATGTGCCCTGACCCTCAGTTCAGCCGCACTGGCAACGGGAACGGGGACCGGGCGGGCGGGTGCCAGACCGAGCTTCTGTGCGGGGCCGGCGGACCCGCTGGGCGCTGTATTGCCGGGTGATACCGCAGACACAGAGGGGGGGGGGGGGCTTGGTAACGCCGCGATTCAGTGGAGCTGGGGTCTGCCGCATACGGCTCTGGACTCGTCGCCAGGTGATATGGGGCGGCGCTGGTTCCCAGAGCAGGGTTCTGCCAGCCGGTCTGTCGGCCATGCTAGGTGTGGCCCTGTTTGTGATGCCCCCTCTCAGGTAACAGAGGGTCGGCGTAGTGCATATGGGGCCCTGGCGCGTTGGCATGCATCTACCAGGTATTGAGCCATGGATGTAACCTGTACATACTGGCTCGCAGCCCTTGAATAACACCCAATGACGCTTTGTCTCTAATGTAATGCATCTGTAATGCTGTCGGTTTCGAAGCGGGGTGATTTTTAGAAGCCATTTTCCACGCTGACCGCTGATTTGTCGAAACGCTTTCGTTTCGCGGAAGGTTTGTGTTCGGAATTGCTGATCTCGCTTAGTTCTGTCTTTGTTGTTCTGTGTTTTGTTTTCGCTGTTTTCGTGACGAGGAAGAAATGCACCACTCGCATTGCGAGGGGCTAACGCGAATACAGTTTTCCCAATTTTGCAGGCAGGTGGTTTCGCGAGGCGCATGCGTTAGTGATTTGATGCAAGTGTGATTAATTTTTTACGCGATCAGGTCAAAGCGAGAGGGCTTGACGAATCATTTAACATGGTTTTTATCCCGGCATGCAGATGGTGTGGTACAGAAGTTCTCCGTCGCTAGCTGTAAATGAACGGTCGCGTCCAGGGTGGGCGTGCAGACGAAAGGCCAGCGGACACATTTGCTGTCTAGGGCAGGCGCCGACGGGTTGTTCCAACTGGCCTGCGAGGTTGATGCAGTGATGGCCGTGGAGCTCACACGGGCGTCACCCGTCATGTCACGGTAGCAGTGTTTGGGACTTGTTGCCATATGCCCTTTTGTTTGGACCCATGCTGCCAAAAGTGCAGTTAGGTGACTGTCAGAACTGCCATAGCATTCCGAGACGTTTGGGAGCTGCCAAAACAATGCTTGATTTAGATGTTTTGGAATGAGGCTTCATGGCCCTAATCTATGGCGTAGTCCGCCACATCATGGGCTGGTACTGAACTTTTTTTCTTGGGGGGGGGGGGTTGTGATGCAATGGCGACAACTTTTGGTTTATAGCTTTTTGGTTGTAGGAACAGGTCAATTGATCGCTTGTGCGCGTCCTCCGCAGCTCTGCTGAGATCTCAAATGGTCATATTGTGCCCCGGTCGTACCCTTGGAATGTTAAGCCCCATTCGTCACTGTATTGACGCAAGTTTCCATTGACTTGACTGACGTTTTATTGAGAGGAGTCTTGTCGGGCTGTATCCGCTTATTTGAAATGGCTGGTGAACAAAATTCATGAGGCGGACAAAATCCATAGACTGAAGCTGCATTTCCGGAAAAAGTTTGGGATGCTTTGTGAGCTCGAGGCCGCCGATCGATCACTACGGAAATTATATCTGAGCCAATACGTGAAATTAAGCTGTAGTCTTTGTGCGGCGACATTCTACTCTAATGCGCTGTATGCAACCAGAGAGAAGTAACATGTTCATTGATCACAGCGGAGAGGCTCGTGCGCTTTCAATGACGTCATTGAAATGAAACCTCCGGATCTAAAACGCCGGATGCTTCTTTTGCCTCCTTGGCTGTTTGTTGTGGCTGGCGATAGCGTGAATTTTTGTGTGGAGTGGGTGGGTTGGATTGGGGAGAAAATCGGGATGAGGCGAGTGGATTTAGGACTGTGTGTACCAACGATTTCGTGCTTCTAGTCGTGCGCTCATAGAAAGTGACAATCGCAACCCCTCTTGTGGCAGTGGCCTGATTGTGTTTTGTGGGTTTTGTGTGGGAGAGAACAGCCCGGAGTCGCACTACCGTCCATCGGCGATGCCTGGGACCGACTTCATACAGTCAGGTATGGTTTTTGCTGCTCTTACTGTACTGGGGTCTATACTGTATTCCGGTGTTGCTGATATTAACATCTGATAGGATTTACTAATATGGACAATTATGCTGAATTGCACCTGCCATGTATTCCACTTACATAATGCCAGGAAAATGTGATGTGACAGATGCCACTTGTGGTTTCCCTAGTTTTTTAAATGTGTGACGTGAACTCTTCAAATGGATGGATTTCTGGGATCAGAGCTCACACTAAGCAGTGTTTGTTGTGTAAGCCCCGACCCCTGCCATCTGATACAGTAATTTCAGGCACAAACAGAATTTGGTGGCAAAAGGTTGACACACACCATGCTTGGCAGGATCTGTACTGCCCTGATATCAACTGACCTTGAGCACCATCCCTGTCACCCATCTCAGGCCATACCTGTCAAGGCAAATAGGGAGCACTCTCAGCAGACTTGAGCTTACCCCCATGTCAGGCGGATCTGAAGGCAGGTGATCAACTGGGCCACCAGAATGAACTACCCATCTCAGTTGACTTGGTTTCTCAAAGTTGACCTGATGTAGCCCACCTGCTTAGTTTCAGTAGTCAATAGGCTGCAGTGTGGGGGTTGTTCAGGCATTTGTTTCGGGCAACCTTGATGCTGCAGCATGCTGCATTACGATCCGAGGTAGTCAGTTGAATCGGCATGTATGGATATGCAGATGTCTGCAAAGACTGGGCTGTCAGATATTTAGCCCCAAGTGTCATATGTTCATGGGTTAGTTGCATGGTTGCTGGCAAAAGTATTGCCAGCATCTGCTTGAACCTTCAAGTATCCTTGAAAGCATGGTGAGAGACAATGTCAGAAATTGCCCCTTGTTTGAAAATTGGAGAAATTGCTCCAAAGCCTCTATGAGCAATGTTTGGTCAGGAGTGCACTCAGGCTGTAATGATATCTGTGGGTGAGGAGTCATTTATATATATATATATATATATATATATATATATATATATATATATATATATATATCCCATATAAATAGTAGGTAGGGTTGGCAAATATTGTGACACTTATGACTAAAGATGCTGCCAAGATTTATCCCTGTTTTGGGGTGCAGGTCACTTGTTTCATAGTGAAGCATGGGTGTCTTGACACATAATTATACACTCCTGTGGCATGCACTCTAGTACACACCAGCCTGTTGAACCTCATCATGCAATCATAAGAACCAGTATCAGGCCAGTGGCCCTTTTCATGTCCCATTTGTCATTGTTGCCTCAGTGCCGAGTCTTGTCAGGTGTGAGTCACTTACATGCAATGATTGCCCAAACCAGGATGTGTCAGGAAGTGTATAAACATCCCAAATAGTGAAGAAAAGGAAAATGGCTGGGAGATGGAGAAACATCCAGGGGGGTGTTGCAGCATAAGTGATCATAGATGACCACAATGCTGCCTCACTTTCTGAGCCAGGGCCTAAGTAAGCCTTGCAGCCATACCTGTCCATTTTAAGCTGTAACTGAGGGCAATTGTGCACCCATTGCCTTTTAATATGGGTGCCAACATCTACAAGAGCAGCCACAAAACTGCTCTCTTGGTGTAGGCATGACAATGGTCATCTTTAATGTACTTAATAGTCATGTCTATAGCTTCAAATGCCAGCCTTAAAATACTGTCTGATGTGACACATAAGTAGGTCACAATGGTTCCTATGCAATGCTTTGCAACTCTCCTACCAGTCCTTCCTATGATTGTAAACAATGGCATCACAGGTAGTTGTTGATGGCACTGCAAGCCGTAGATGAGCGACTGCACTCTTTTGAGAGCAGTCCCTCATCTACGGCTTGCGACGTCATTGACACTTGCCTGCGACATCCTTGGTTACGACCTTGCGCATGCGCTGAATTAACGAAGAACAGGGGCCTGTGCTCCAGCATGAATGCTGGGCTGCCACTCACCCCGTAACCATACGGACATCGAGTGTCTGTCGTCACTGGGCGTCTTTTCGTCAGTTTAAATCGACGAAGAGATTGTAACACTCGTCATTACAATGACGACTTGGCCCGATTCCAAGTCAGGATTGTGATGAGTCAGGAGCGCAGGATCAGTCAAATGGTGACTGTAAAGTCTTCGGCCAGCAGCTGTTATGGTTCTTGCACCTGTATACCATGCGTGCTGTCCGCTGCAGACAGATGCACGCGATAATACGCAGGAAAACAAAAGGAACAGAATAATCGGTATTTCTGGGATAGCGCCGCGATGTCTTGAGGCATGGCGCAAGACAATGCCACATCACCCCGTCTTTGGCGGCCGTTACACACATTCAAGTAGGTTTCATTGCATTAGGTACATATACTAGCACTTAAAACATTCTGCGTGCAAAATGGATAGAAATATGGGTTTAAAGAGTTTCAGTATATAAAGGAATCAACAATAAACGCATCAAAACGTTGACCGTTGCAGCAAAATTCCGCGGTTTCAAAGTGGTTTGCTGTTCTGCGGCCGTGCATCCACGAATGCCTACTGAGGTCACTTCTCATTTGCTCCCCTCCCTCACCAGAAGACAGAGCAGACACCACATCTTCGCTCACCAGTGATCACCTTCAGAACACCGCCGGC